TTAACGAGCTTCCCTGTCTGCTTCTCATCGCGTGGTACGAAGACAGCCAAGCAGACGGGGCGTTCACTTTTAGCGAGACGATGTCAAAGGCGGCGGACAAAGTCTTCGACACATTGCCTCGGTCCATCAAACGTATGAGTGAGTGTCGACGTGCATCAATGAACCGAGCCTCGCTGACGTGTAACCTAGCGTTCTTCGAGGGGCTCAGTGGCCCTGACGCAGATATCGACGCCGGTATGTGCAGAAAGCATCCATATCCTTCATTCAAGCATCTCACGTTCCCTTACAGATCTTCGAAATCGGAGATTCTACGAGAATAGCGCTCTCGACATGGAAGACGCCGACCAGACCGCCCCTACTGACATCCTCCAGCATCGCCGTCCCTCCCAAGCCTCCCGCGCTTCCCGGCGGCGCGTCTCGCAATCCCACTCGCAGACTAGCACTCCTCCGCGCTCCGCAATGTCGCTTTCCACGAAAAGCGAGCGCCCCATGAGCGGACCCTCGTCCATCCCCTCCCACGGAACCGCCTCAACTCGATCGTCACTCGCGGGCTCGACACGGCGCAGAGCCTCGCGAGCCCGCTCGCGCAGGTCTTCCAGCCGCTCATCATGGATCAGGAGAACGAGACGGAGCAGCCTGCGCAGGATGGTGGTGCGCTGGTGAGCTATGGGCCTGCGTCAAGGCGCAGGTTGTCGTCCATGCAGAGGAGGCCGACAGCAATGGGGCAAATGGGACACACGGACCCATTCGGGGGTGTTCTATTCTCTGGCCACGCTGGTGCGGGGCAGGGATTGGGCGCGAGGAAGTCCACTGGTGCGCCAACGGTAACGAGCCCCGGAGCAAGGCTGGGGATCACAGGGCAGACGTTGTCGTCGAGCCCGGAGACGAGAGACGTACGGAGTTCGGGGATAGGGACAGAGATGCGAGGTCCGTGCACGGGCAAAGTCACTCACATGAGCCGCTGGAGACGGCGGAGGAGGAACAGGAGGAAAGCAGAATGCCTATGGACAGGAGGCTGGATGGTATTGAGCGGAGGCAGCAGCGGATCGAAGAGCTCTTGGAGCGATTAGTCTCTAAGTCAGAGTAGACTCGGACTCTCGGCGCTGGCTCATTTGTCAGGGAGATCTGTATGACTCGGACTCGGAGGACTCGGAGTGATGGTAGAAGATTCATATGCATACACCTGATTGATACAGTCTTGGATCATTGCACATTGGAGTGGAGGTACATAGACCGTGACACAACGGATGCATGGGAACGGATGGCTGCGGGCTTTATGGGCCAAGGCAGCCAGTCAGTTGCTCTCAACAATGATATCGTACACTGTACAGCACTTCGCGTAGCTTCAGCATTCTTGGCGAACCTCCACATGCTCATGAACTCATCATGGACTAGGATCCTAACCCAGGTCTTGCTCTTTCTTCCCCTGATTTGCACTCCGGAGTCTGCAATACGAGAGCTCGCTCAGGATATCCATCGGTTGCACAGCTGTCAATGGAACACGAACCGGTTCCTTGCGCTCAGTACACGCACGGTACGCTTCCTCTCAACCTCAGTCATGTTCGGCCAATCAGGGATGCAGGAGAGCGTCTGGATAAGTATCGAATGAGCATGGGTGCTCTCAGGCGCGTAACGCAGAGAAGGCTGCTGAAACACGTAAGTACCCCATCACTGTTCATTACCAATGGGCCCAATGCGTCGAACTTGGCTCCTTGCTCTGAGCCAACCTGGACTTGAGTGGCGTCCTTGTCGGATTCGGATGCAGGCAGGAGGTGCGTGGCGTCAGCTTGCTTGTCGCCCATATCTGAAATCGGTGCTGATGGGACGCTGTGTCCTTGGCTAGGGATGCAGCGTCTGTTGTAGAGGGTGGTATATAAGTCATGTCGGATGGCCGTGGCCCGTGGAGGGGACTGTACAGTGTGCATCGTCGATCTTTCCAGGCGCGACGCGATCACGTGGTGCAACACGCGCGCCTTGTCGAGTTCTCGACGCGTTTTGACACCATTTTCGAGAACTCCTGCTTACTCTTGCGTGTCCAGGTGATGATGATACCAGTAGCATTGCCATCTTTCTGCCATTGTCGGAATTTTGTGCTTTCTGTGCTGATTGCTCTGACCTTCCACACGCGACACGTACCTATGATAATTTGTCTCAAATCCGACGCTTTATTGTCCGCCATCTGGCATCATGAGACACGCTGAACGAGAGTGAATCAACTGAGCCGCATTGAGACTCCATGCGACGCACCTGAGGACCCATAACGTTCTCAACGAGTGAGTTATCGCTCCAATGCCAAGCTGACGGACATAGTACTGTACTCGAAACTACCACACATCGGTAGACGTCGATTCAATGCTCTAACATGGCAGCTACGACACCAGTGAGCCCCAGTTTGACTACCACTCATACCTCTACTTCGTTCTCTAGCCAACTCCACAGCTTTGAGCCGACCTTTTCATTGAACGCGTCTTGTCGGGGGCGGGCGTCCACTTTTGCCCAGGGAACGACAAACTGCGAACAAAGCGAGTCACACTACAAGACATTTGCTGAGGACCAATGCACGTACTTCGCCATTGTACTGCAGCGCTTCCGGCATCGTTCCTGCCCAGAGCTGACCCAGGGCGCCATACTCGACTGGGTAGAGCTTTATGAAGATGTCCTGTGAAGCAGCATCACAACAGTCTGAACGTGACGCAGCAAACGAGAGGTGGGCTCGTAACGTACGACAAACTTTAAATCGACTGCTGAGGCGTATTTCATGATGTCTGTCTTGATATTGCCTATTTACACGAGGTCAGTCAGCATATCATATCGTCGGAAGTCGGGAACCTACCAGGGTTGACCGAAAGGGATAGGATGCCTTGGGCTCCATATCGTCGTGCGCACTCATGGGCTAGGACGACATTTGCCTAGAGAGTTGAGATCAGGCTCAGGTCTCTCTTCATCGGGCAACATACTCACAAACTTGCTTTGGAAATACATTCTGGCGTATCCCGCCTTCCTCCGGGCAGGGCCCTCTTTAAAGGTGTCGTAGTGCAGGGAAGATAGATAGGACGCGTACGATGACAGCCAGATCACCCGAGCGAAGTGATCCGGCGATGAATCTCTGCCTGCCAGCAGAGTGGGGAGAAGGAGTTTCGTGAAAAGGAAGTGACCTGACCCCTGTACGCGTCAAGGAAGCACGGAAGGGCAATGGATGATTCACTCACCGATGACGTTCGTTCCGAAGGTCATGTCATATCCATCATCTGTGAGCCAGTCCATAGGGATGGTTGAGACACCGCTGTATGGATCTGTCAAGAGGCAATATTTTCTACAGTCTGCTAACCATTGACTGACGCATTATTGAATAACACATGAAGTTCTTTCTCTTTGCTATCGCGTGTTCGTGTCAGTACGTATGGTATTGCAACATAGTAGGATAGTGAGAACTCGGTTGTACCTGAGAAATTCCGCCGCAGCCCTCCTTACGGACGCAAGGTTTGCAAGATTGAGTTCAAGATAGATCGCCTGTCTTCCCGTTTGCTCCTTCAACTCGTCGATAGCCGCGTGTGCTCTCGTTTCATCCCTCGACGCCATGTAGACCGTAGCATTGTGGCTGAGGAGAACCTGATTGGACCGACATGACCGGTAAGAGCCAACGAAGTTCACGACAGTCGTACCTTCACTGTCTCTTTCCCGATCCCCGCGTTGCCTCCTGCCACGTCCAGATAGGTAGTCAGTCTTCCCGGAGTCGTCGAGGCGTATGTTAGAGCAGACGCGCCTGTAACTATCATGACCTTGCCGGTCAAATCGGGTATATCGTCCGTGCTGAACGTGGGTTCTGGGGGGCGACATTGTCTGTGGATTCGCCTGGAATATTTGAGCGTGGACCACAGTCCAGCCATGATAGGTCAGTGGGTGGATCAGGTGAGGAAGGGAGGGCTCTAGTCTACCAGGAACCCTTCATATAGTTACGGGTCCGCGTATTAGGTACGCGGTGGACAGTTCGACGTACTTACAGCGGCCGTTGTGCGGATCAATGGTTATATATTCAGACCGCCGCTCACACAAACAATCGACCCGTGCGGACCACACTAGTCTCGGGAGCCTCCAATGTGCTGACACGACGTGACGACGGCCGTACAACAGTTAGATCCGTTCAGCCAATGCAGGAAACTGAGCGTAGGCTGAAAGGCGCAGTCAGCACTTGACCAGGGAAGTCGAGGACATGGGAACGGCGCCCATGTCTGCCGCGTATTGACGGGTTCGAACATAAGCTTCGAGATCTCTCCGCGGTACGTTCCCTAAGATGAAGGCACACTCACACGGGCAGCGCGGGTACCGACCGCAATTTGACCGTCTCGTTTCAGCTCGTTTCACGCTAAATCTACACAGCAACACTCTCATCTGGAGCGAACATCTGGAAGTTGCGGGTGTATGTCCCTGACGCAAGATACTTCCCGTCATTCGACAAGTCCACCGACATCACCTTGCCACCATCCGTGGGGAGCGTTCGCAACAGCTGCCAGTCATCCGCACTCCAGATCTTGACCAGGCCATCGTAGCCCGCGCTGGCCATGTACAGGCCGGAACGGTATTTGCGTTCTTCTGCCTCCTGAGCGCCTGTTTTGTCATCCGTGTCCAGTGTCTCATCCATCCCATTCATTTCAACGTCCGGTGTCGGCGAGAAGGGGCGTACGGCAAGTCCGTGCCTCGGTAGAAACGCACGTCTGCGACATTAGAGAGGTGACCTGGGATGGTGTATAGCGCCTTCAATGACCGCATGTCCCATATTCGAATAGTATCATCGCCGGAACCAGTGGCGATTTGATAACTTGTCCTGGAATCAGCAATATGAAATGGCGTGCGTAGAGGTACATACCCATTGGGAGAGAAAGCAATAGAAAAGATCCCCTGGACGTGCCCGTCCAATACCATTGCCGTTCGACCTGTTCGTAGGTCCCATACTCGGCCGATGGCGTCCAGTCCTCTGACAAATGAGTCAGCCAAAGCCGTCAAGTGAGGGTAGAAGTCAGTACCCTGACGCAACAAGAGCACCGTCCTCTTGGAACTCCACTGAGTAGACCTCCTTTGAGTGACCTTCTTGCAGAAGGAGCTCTTTGGACGTCGCGACATCCCACAACCTCCACGACGTATCGAAACTGGCACTGGCAACGTAGTCACCACTCGGATGGAAAGCTACCCTACATATACGGTCCGCGTGTCCTTTCATGACTGACAGCGGTGTCTCACTGGGGAACTGTGAGCAAAGTTATCCATATGGTACAGAACGTGTCGCACCTGTTAAAAGACCAGAGATTCACACTCATATCGCCGGCACCACTGACCAGATTGACGGCATCTTCGCTTTGAGCCAGCGTAGCCTGTGGGTGCCAAGCAACTCCTCCGACTCTGTCGGTGTGGCCTAGACGAAAGCTTACGATGAGTGAACCTGGGTGGCGAGCGCGCAGGACAAACCTCGCAGTGTTCGTATTGGTGTACAGTTTGGGATATTCCACAGCTTGACATTGCCGGACCAGCTACCCGTTGCCAGGATCTGGCTATTGGGGGAGAATCTTACTTGTGAGATGGGCCGATCATCACCAATCTGGGAACCCAGCTCCGCAAATCGCTGAAGCAACATAACATAGAATCAACAAAGTGTCGGTGGAACGATGTGCGACGTACCCGAACTTCCGCAAATATCTTCTTGCGGATGTCAATGATACGCCCCAAGGGGATCTTGCTGTCTAACCGCTGCTGCGCCACTCTTTTTTGAGCTCTACATGGGATCATAAAGACGCAAAAGACGCAGTAAGCACCTTCCTGATGTCCACCTATTGGTAGCGGAAATCCAACCTGGGCAGAGAGTACTCCGCTATTCGCCTACGCGCCTCGAGAAGCTCCAGAGAGCCTGGCGTGTAGAATTCCTCCACCTAGAGCCAATGAATACACGGGTTGGAGGGAAAGAGCGCACACGTACTTCTTCCTCACTCTCCTCGGAACTCTCCTCTTCGTCGACCTGCATAGCATCTTCTCCTCTTGCGGCATTGATTTGTGACAGGACGTAGATGAGACGGTCTCGTCGGTCGGCAGCCTACGCGATTATGAGTTCTAGCATTCTTGAGACAGGTGAAGGAAGCTCACACGTTCACCGAAGAGCGTGATGGGCTCTCCAATCTCACGCAGTCTTGCTTTCACTTTAGCATCGTCGGTAGGCACGGCGAGGCTGCGCGCCTTCTTCTTGCGTTCGAGCTCATCAAGCAAAATCTTGTTCTCAAGCCTCGCGCGTTCTGAGCCGAGGTAGTTGCCATCGTCGATGAGCGTATCGAGAGTGAGGTCGGCCATGACTGCAGCAAGGAAGTAAGTCAGCGGTGGCTGAGGCGAAGGTCGGTAGCGGGCGCTAGACTGGTGGGTGTTGTGTGGTGTTTGGCAAAGGCTTTAGATCGGGAAGGAGATCAGCCACGTGTGCGCGGTGAACATAACGGACAGTTGAGCATTGTCCCCCGCAGCCCTCTCCATCTCCCGCCATGTCGGGCCTCAACTCCCCCAACCCCCTCAGACAGCGACGAGGTCCAACTTCACGCTCTCCAGGCTATAGCGAAGTCTCGCAGGATGACGACCAGGTTGAGTTCTCCAGTCCGGTGCGTGACACGTAGGGCTGTGGTATACAAGACATACCAACGCGTACACCAAATGTAGCGGAATCGGAGCGCTGCCGAAAAGATACTTGAGACCGACAAGGCCAATATTGCCGTGATCGCGATTCTCACTGTCCTCGCGTTTGCCCTCCGTTTTTACAAGATAAACCATCCAGACCAAGTAGTGTGCGTGTTGACATCTCATATCGTGCCATTGCCGATCATTTGACGCGTCGCTTCCTGTTGTTTGTGCCCACAGGTTCGATGAAGTGCACTTCGGCAAGTTCGCTTCGTATTACATCACACGACAGTACTACTTCGATGTGCACCCACCGCTCGCGAAGATGTTGTTCGGTCTGGCTGGCTGGTTCGTCGGATACGATGGTCACTTCCTCTTCGACAACATTGGAGACAGCTACACCGAGAACCATGTCCCTTACGTCGGCATGCGCGCGCTCCCTGCATTCCTCTCAAGCATGACAGTGCCCGTCGTCTATAGCATCATGAAGGAGTGCGGGTATTCCACAATCATTGCAGCCTTCTCGGCGTCATTGGTCCTCTTTGGTATGCTCAATTAACCTCTGCTGTACTGACTAGGCATGACATCATTACTTTTGCTAGACAACGCCCACGTCACTCAAAGCCGCCTTATCCTCCTCGATGCAATCCTGATCTTCTTCATCGCCACGACCATGTACTGCTACGTCCGATTCCGGAAACTACGTTACCAGTATGTTCTGATACCTTCCCTTGCATATGAATCTGATAGACCCCCGCAGGGAATTCTCTCCTGAATGGTGGGGCTGGCTGCTTGGTACGGGTACATTCATGGCCTGTGCGTGGGCTTCCAAAGTCAACGGCATCTTGACGGTCGTGGCGATTGGTATTCCTGTATTGATCGATTTATGGGACATTCTCGACGTCAAGAAGGGGCATAGCATGGTACGTATCATGCTTTGGCGTCTACCTTGTGTTGACACCAGATTTGTCGTCAGGAATACTTCACGAAACACTTCGTTGCCAGAGCGGTTGGACTGATCGTTCTCCCGATCACTCTGTATCTCATCTTCTTCTGGATTCATCTGGCCATTTTGACGAACACTGGTCCCGGTGACTCATTTATGAGTCCTGCGTTCCAAGAGACGCTGGAGGGCAATGAGTTGCTACTGAACAGCCAAGGTATGCGAGCCACAATCGTGTTGCAGTCAAACAACCCAACGTCTTGCCAGAAATCCACTACTTCGATACCATCACCGTCCGGCATAGAGACACACGCGCCTTCTTGCACTCTCATCCGGAGCGTTATCCGCTGAGATACGATGATGGTCGTGTTAGCAGTCAGGGTATGTGCGCGCCCGTTATGCCGGTTATGCTTCCTATCTAACATTCTGCATAGGACAACAAGTCACGGGATATGGACATGATGACACGAACAACTATTGGCAAGTTATCCCTACCAAGGCACTGCCCGAGACTGGTCGTGGCCGCATCATCCGCGAGAACGACGTCATTCAGCTGCTCCATGTCAGCACACAGTCTTACCTGCTCACACACGACGTCGCATCACCGCTCATGGCCACGAACGAGGAATTTACGACTTGGCCAAAAGACGACCACTCGCGCCACAACGACACGCTGTTCAAGCTGTCGCTTGTTGACGCAGAGGAAGGGGAGTCGTGGAAGAGCAAGTCCGGGCATTTCAAACTTATCCACGTGCCGACCAAGGTGGCGATGTGGACGCACACGAAGCAGCTGCCTGATTGGGCATTCAACCAGCAAGAAATCAACGGGAACAAGAACATCAACGAGAAGAGTAATGTTTGGTTCGTCGACAACATCGTTGACGAAGAGAGTAAGTCACGGTTACCTTGTCCACGTGACCGCGTCTGACTGTGGAAAAGCAGGTGCGGATGTCGGGAATCGTACGAATGTAGGGAGCAAGAAGCCCAAGAGCCGGAATTTCTTCAAGAAGTTCGCGGAGCTGCAGCTTCTCATGGTCCAGCACAACGCGGGGTTGACTGCGTCCCATCCCTACGCCAGCAGCCCAATCAACTGGCCATTCCTTCTCAGCGGCATTAGCTTCTGGACAGAGAACACCGATCAAAAGCAGATCTACTTGATCGGTAACATCATTGGTTGGTGGACATGTGTCGTCGCCATCTCGACTTACGTCGGTATCATTGGAGCCGACTTGATCGCCCGTAGACGAGGCGTCGAACCCATACATGACTGTATGTGCATCGATACAAACGCTCTCGAGACCACTAGCTAATGACCACCTCACAGCTGTCCGCAACAGGCTTTGGAACTCGACCGGGTTCTTCCTCATATTTTGGCTCGTGCATTACTTCCCCTTCTACGTGATGAGCCGCCAGCTCTTCGTCCACCACTACCTCCCGTCGCACCTTGCCTCCGCGCTAGTCGCAGGCTCCGTGCTCAGCTTCGTGCTCTCCGAGACCGTGAACTACCCCATCTCCATCCGCGGTCCCTCCACACGCCCCAAAACGTCGATATACGCGGACGTCGGCATCAAGGGCCCGATCATCTTCGGCCTCTTCGTCGTGGCTATGTTCATCATGTACTGCTACATCGCACCCCTCACCTACGGCACACCAGGGTAGGTTCTCGCCGTCTTGTTGGCTGACGTGTTGCTGACGGTTCTGCGTAGGTTGACCGGTGACCAGGTGAACGCAAGGCGGCTGTTGTCATCCTGGACGCTGCACTTTGCCGCGAAGCCCTCAGGGGAAGTCTAAACAAAACCTTGCTCGACTGACTGATTCTGCTCGTGCATGAAGGGGTCGAGGACAGTGGAAGGAGATGCTCACTTATATATCATTGGAGGCAGGTTCGCCCTGTATGTACGTAATGTTTAGTTCTTATTGTATCTCTCTTATCCACCCTCTCTTTGGAGTCCCGGTATGGAAAACCAGCACTGAATACGGAAGCATGATCAACAAGTGCGATAGAGCAGTCGTGCTTGTGAGTAGTTTCGAACTCGGGTCGAGTTTCAAAAATTCCACCATGGCACTACCTGCTTAGTGGTCTCCCCATTTGTGTCCTCTCTGCGCGCGCGATCTATGCCGGTCTCAGCCACTGAAGGAAGGTTCGTGCCGTCTCTAGCTGGAGGTTTGAAATCTTCGTTGCAGTTGTCGGTGCGTCCAAGAAAGCCTGTCTGAACAAACTCGCTGCAGTCCCGATTCAGGGAACTAAGAACCGCTTGCAATGAGTGGTCTGTGCTTCTTCGAGCCTGCCCAGTAGTTTATGATCATGAATTATCGCAAGCATCACGACCCAGACTTCGGAGCAGCGATTCCGAAGTCTTCACTGCAACTTGTGCTCATTTTATGGAGTTAGGATAAACATCATGATAGATTCCTTGACTTCGTACTTATCAATGTGAGGCATCGAAGACCGCCACAAAGGGTCTAATCGTGTGAGTGGTAGTTGACGTTTACACATGTGCATGAGGCCTCGATATCAAATAATCTACTGTCAATGCTCCTCCAAGGGGGCAGCACTCTTCAGTCTCACGCTGCCATTGCACCGAGCTGCCACCGGCGTAGTTGAGACCTGAGAGTTGCGGGCTTACCGTTCGTTCGACTCGGGATCGCAGATGCAATCTAGTGCGTATTTACACGACCGGTCTCGATCAGATCATCACTGGTGTGCCATATGCAGCGGTGGTGTCGGGGACGCACGGGTCTGAAGACTCACCGTCCAGACGTGGTCATTTGTCTTCTCTCTGTGGCTTCCATGAGATGGTCCAATGATTTCTGATATGGTAGCCGGCCGCCGATTAATCGTGGACGCCAGAGGTGTGAACAATGTGACTCGCCGTGTCAAGGACTCGGGTGTAACTCTGGCAGGTTACTGACGAGGACGCAAGGCGGACTGCACATCGTAGTGGCCCTACGGTCAACCGGAATCATCTTCGAGGGAACACGGTGAGTACGGAGATCCCTGGCGATTCGTTCCGGCTATTTGAAGAACGCGCAATTTCAGAGTCACTCACCTGGCTGCAATCGAGACCCTTATCCAGGCATATGTTCCCTTCCTTACCCCGTGTCGCCGGCAGAGCTTGTCCTTGTGCCACAAAGGTGAGTTGATCTTCAGACGGGTCGGCAGCTCCGACGGAATCCGCCCCGAGGTCTCACTGCGGTATAAGGAGACCGTGAGTTGGCTTTCGCAAGAGCTCATGGGAGGGCCCCTCCAGCACAGAGGTGTCTCTTGTTGGATGTAATACGGTGATGTATGTGGCCATGATATTGCGAGGAGAGTTATGGCTGTGATGGACTGCCTCGAGGAGCACCAAGGACCGTCTTATTGCCGGCAGAGGGTCGGCAGCCTGTATATCACCGTTTCGAGGCACAGCATTTATGATTTGTCTGACATGTCCTGCTATTCCGTCATGACCTCCGTCATAGCCTGTCCGCACCAAGAAGAGTACATTCAGACGTCCGAGCGGGGCCCCCCTATCAGCGAGTGGCTCGACCTGGGATCGCACCTTGTTCCGACTCTTGCAATCGCTGAAGTCGCTGTCGAGAACTTCACGAGAACAGACCGTATACGCGTTCGCGTATGTGCGGAGCGAAAGAGAGTTGGTCTGGCCATTCAGAATCGAGATACACGACCGTGATAAGCAAGCCAAAGCTTACCAGGAGAAATAACCCGCGATGTATTGATAGCATATTGATAGCTTAGTACTAATAGTAGCGCCAATATCTGCCGGTGGCTATCGGCAAAATGGGCGCCCAGGGCCAAAGTGCCGGCTTCCAGCACGAGGTCGTTGTAGCGACCTCTTCGCCAACGACCACCAGGATATTCGCTCGTTTCTTTCCTACGTTTCGCTCCTCGTCCATACCGTCCGTTCGCGGCGCTATCCTGTCGTTGAACGAGGAGTCTAACACGCTCTACCCCGACGCGGTTGCACTAACCGCTCGCCGGCACTCGTGAACGCGCACCGTCTTCCGCCACCAGCGGCACCACAAAGCCTCTACGTTCCATCTCCTGTCATTGATGGGAAACACGGAAACGATTGTCCCTGAGGGAACACATTGGCACTGACAGTGGTTGCAATCGTACGTGTTCTCCATAGTCGCGTTGCACTACCTCCCGCTCGCCATTCCCGGTGAGTACCTCACGGCCTCATGTCCTCCATTTCGGTCCTTACTATCTTTCCTAGCCTCCACGCTCAACTCTACATCTACCGCTCCCCTATATTGTACGATTTCACATGGCGGCAGCCGTTTTAACTTCTTCCAAGCTGTCCATCTCGAACCCTTTTCAGATGGCTTCCCACAAGCGCCCCGACCCGGCATCGCCCCCTCTGCCTGCGGCCGCGTCCTCGTCAAAGGTGCACTTGTCGTCGCAGCCCTCCTCGTCAGCTGGACACCATGACGCGCCGCCCAAGACATTCAAGCGCCTGCGTTCCTCATTGGAGCAGAGCATCCGGACGGCGACGCGGTCCAAGGCGAAGATGAGCGCTCCGGTGGACGAGAACGGCGCCATCGCCCCGAGCGAAGACCGGGACAATGGCAAAGGTAAGGAGCGTGCGTCCGAGGAGCACCTGTCCGACGAGAAGAGCAAGTCCAGATCGAGGATGCTATCTAAGGTTTCATTTCGGAGACCAGCCGCGAGAGAATCGCAACCCCCTGCGCCCCCACCACCTGTCCCCGGCGGAGGGCAGGGAGCCGCACGAGCAGAGAGAGACCGGGACAAGGACAAGGCGCGCGTGGCCGGCAATGTCAGCTTCCTCGCACCTTCTCTTCGACAAGCATCCATGTCCTCGCCAACGTTGCCTATACCCTCTGCGTATACCCAGCCATTCGCGCTCCCCAGCGGCTCGACATCCAACGTCGCAGCGCTGGTATCGCCTCCACGTGAACGTGCTCGTAGATCTGAGTCTGGTGGCCTCAGCACAAGAAACATTAGTGGGCCCCAACCGCTCGCGTCTCGCCGCGATCCGCGGGCTAGTGGCGGTGCGGGATCGCCGCGAGAGGGCAGGAGACCTCCACCGCTGTCGCTGTCTTCACGCGGCAGCAATTCGCCCGGGCCAGAAACACCAACGCGACGATCCCGAGACGCGACGAGATCGCCAGAGCCCTCGTCACCGACACCCCGGGGGCTCGCTGCTAGTTCGTCGCGAAGAGCAGCGGCCAGTGCTAGTCATCTGCCGCTGAACAGCACTCCCAGTCCGCCCGTATCGCCTACCCTACGACCGCTTAGTCCTTCCCGTGCACGGTCGACATCGCGCACCCCCACTCGGGCTGGGCCGTCGGCATCCTCGTCTCACCTCCCCTAGCCTCGTCTTCATCCTCTACGTCAGCGCGAAGACCATCAGTGGATACCGCGCGCCCCTCACTGGAAGCGCGAAGGCCTTCCGTGGACACCCCCGACCGTCATTCGAAGCGCGGAGACCGTCCGTAGACGCCCGCCGGCCATCCGTCGAGGCACGCAAGACCTCGCTCGATCTGAGTAGGTCGTCGCTGGAAGGCAGGAGACCCTCGCTGGACCGTGCCGGTTCACCTGTCACGCCTACCCGTCCTCGTGCTCTCTCGCCGACTCAGCGCAACATCACACCGAACTACTACCAGAACCGACTGCTCAATGCGTCAACAACTTCGCTCGGGGATCCTCAAACCCTGAGCATCGGGAGCAGATCCGAGCCGCGTCGTCATACCTCTGCAAAGAGATGTTGAAGCCGCCGTCCAGGCTGAACGACTCGAGCCTGCAACCACGGGAATGGGAGGAGGTGGAGGTGCGCATGCGGAGTTTGGCCAGATTGGAGAGGGTCTGGGGGAAGAGTGGGGGCGGGATGGGTAGTTCCTCCCAGTTAAGCTCCGCCGGTGGGTTGAGCTCGAGCGGGCTCAGCGCTAGTGGAGAGGAGAGGGAGAGGCGATTGCTCACTGAGGCACTGAGAGATGGCTATGTTCTCTGCCAGTACGTTGTTCATTTACCCTTGATCCCATGGGCCGCGTCTTATTGTTGATTGTTCTATCTCCGAACAGACTCATGAACAAGCTTTTTCCGGGCACCATCTCTCGCGTGGATCCAAAGGAGGACGGGGTAGCGCGGTCGTCTAACGTCACCCGTTTCCTAGCAGCCTGCACTTCTGTTGGCGTATCATCAGAGGATCTCTTCGGCCGAGACGATCTCACCATAGCGAACGCGGAGTCCCTGGCCCAAGTCGCTCGTACAGTCCTTGCTTTGCAACGACACGCGGAGTTCCCGTCCCCCGACAAGTCCAGGTACATCCAGGGCGGCGTAGGACAGGGACCATATAGCGCGGGGGCGGCTCGCGTGCTGCTTCGTCGACCCCGAATCTCACCCTCGCTCAGATGCAGCGCTCCACCTCGCCCGTCTCGCCGCATTCGCCAACTGGGAGGAAACGCTGGAGCCCACCGCAACCGCTGCCGACGGTACGCTCAGCGAGTCCTGCGGAAGACGGCTCTGGGTCAGGCGGTTCCTCGGGAGGCAAGACAGTTGGCAATGGCCACGCACACCATGGTGGGGAGAGCGACCTCGAGTTCGACGAGGTCCCTCCCATCATGTCTCCCCCACCTCGATCTCCTCTTCGTCCAAGGCCCAGTGTCGACCGCGCCTCCGTGGCAGACTCGACACGCGCCTCCGTCGGCGACTCCGTGCGAGCGTCTGTGGTCGACTCAATAGCTGCTTCTCCGATACGACAATCCCAAGCATCCACCATGACGGACACCACTGCCTTTTCGAGCCTGCTGGAGGTGCAGAGGACCACTAGTACGGGACAGAACAAGTTTGGAACCATTCGCACGGTCACTACTGAAGCCACGTCGGTCGACGCGAGCGAGACACCTTCATTCACGTTTGCAGAGGGTAAGGCGATGGCCGCGACCTTGTTTGAGGAGCCGGCTCGAAGACGAAGCGGCGAGACACCCACCAGGCCATCCCGCGAGCGACGTCCGAGTGAAACCATGCCCGTTGACTTGGCCAGAGTTGCGGAGGAGACAGAGGAGGGTTCATCGAGTTCCAAGAGCAAGTCCAGGAGCGGAGTGTCTCTCAGCAAGCCAGAGCAGGGTCGCGAGCCGAGTCCACAGAAAGCGTCCCCCATTAAATTGGGCAAAGGCAAGTGGCCGGATGACTTTATAGATGCATTCCAGGCCCCGAAGTCCTCCATTCTTGATGGGGACGAGTTCGGCGTCTATGAACCCGTCACACCCATTTCCTCGTCACCTCCCCGCAAGTTGGCTATTGTCGGCGCTTCGAGGCCCGACGCAAGCGTCGAGTCCCTGCCACAGTTCCCTCGGCGTCCGACGCATCGTGCGAGACACAGCGTCGATACTCCTGGCCTTCTGCCGAAGGATCAGGTGTTGTTCAGAGACGCCAGTCCAGACGGCGGGCCTCCATCCCCTAGGATCGTCTTGCGACGTAGCAGTACGCGCACTGGGGCTCAACGAAATGGCGTCTACGTACCTCGGAGCGACTCTCGCTCTCAAGAGAGCGACACGCGCGTACCATTTCCACGATCTGTCTCCGCCGAACATACTCCCGCTTTTGCCCAGGATCACTCGGGCGAATCCACTCCTGCAGGTTCGTCGACGACATCCAAGCCGGGCTCACCTGGTCCTCATGACAGGCCTCGACAACCTCGCGGTCGCTTCCAAAGTGAGATTGATGGGGCCAGTTCGCGCAGAAAGCCCCGTCCCAACTCGTATGACGAGCTCGGTGCTAAGCCTCGTCGGTCAAGGTATGAGAGTATGGTGAATCTGGGGGTCGTGACAAGCAACGCGAGTGCCAGCGACATCCTCACGAGAGACCCTTACGAAGGCAGCGCTGTTCGGCAGACGCTGGTTGTTAGAGAAGACGGCAAGCCGCCGACTCAGTTCGTACGTATTCGAAGTCCTCTGTGTCTGCTCCCGTAACTTAACGTTGGCACTAAAGCAACTCGGGAACTGTATCGGGCGAGGTCAATTCGGTGCTGTTTATCGGGCCCTGAACCTAAACACAGGACAGATGGTGGCGGTCAAGAGGATTCGTCTCGAGGGTCTCAAAGAGGACGAAATCAAGCAGCTCATGAAAGAGGTCGATCTCGTCAAGAGCTTATCTCACCCGAGTATCGTCAAATACGAGGGCATGGCGAGGGATACCGACTCCCTGAGCATCGTTCTTGAGTACGTACTGATCAGCGCTGTTAGACAGCCATTCTCACGCTGTATATAGGTACGCAGAGAACGGTTCGCTAGGCCAGACACTGAAGGCGTTTGGCAAACTCAACGAGCGTCTTGTGGCCGGCTATGTGGTCAAGATCCTAGAGGGTCTGCACTATCTTCATCAAAGCGATGTGGTCCACTGCGATCTGAAAGCGGCTAACATCCTCACTACCAAGACCGGGAATGTCAAGCTCTCGGACTTCGGGGTCTCGCTCAATCTGCGAGCAATGGAACGCGAGATGAAGGACGTGGCGGGGACGCCGAACTGGATGGCTCCCGAAGTTATCGAACTGAAAGGCGCTTCTACCAAGTCCGACATCTGGTCGCTTGCTTGCACGGTCATCGAGCTTCTCACAGGGCGTCCCCCTTACTCAGAGATCGCAAACAGCATGTCTGGTATGTTTATGTCTTGCTGCGGACCTGACCCGTGTTGATCGTTCTCTCAGTCATGTTTCGTATCGTTGAGGACTCCATGCCACCCCTGCCGGACGGCTGTTCACAGTCTCTGCAGGACTTCTTGAGGCAGTGCTTCCACAAAGACCCGACGAAGCGACCGAGTGCCGAAGAGCTGTGTGAGCACGAATGGCTGAAGAAAAACTGGGCTATCCACAACAAGGTGTGTGGTGTGTTACGTACTCGACGTGTACAGCTCCCTGACAGTTTTGTAGGAGTTGCGGCCTCAAGATAGCATTCCTTTCTTGCGTCGCGTATCTGCCGACTATCACGCACAAAAGGCAGACGTCATGCGATATCTCGCCGGTGTTGAGATGCCCGAACGTCCAGAGTCAGACAGAGCGTCTCCAGCATTGTCGTCGTCCCCCGACAAGCGGCCACGCGTCGACGTGTCACCTGCACCACGTAGACCTTCCAACGATCCTGACCATTTTTCACCACGCGAGCACTCCTTCGTACGAACTACCTTCGGCAAGCGTACGTCCAGTTTATTTTCATGTGCCACCAAATTATCTAACGTACTGTCACAGCTGTCATATGCCGCGTATGTAACCAAGGAGTGAAGAAAAGCGCTGTTCTCTGTGAACAATGCAGCCTTATCTGCCATGCGAAATGTGCTCCGAATGCGCCGCCAACCTGTGATTTACGAGCACAACTGCTTCTATACGCACAGTACGCGGAGACTGGTAGTCCGACTGGCCAATACAGCAACCCCATGGAGCTCCTCGAGGCTCTTCAGGCAAACGGACCCCTCAGCCCTGTTTCCGATGGCAGTGACGTCACCCCCAGAACCAGCTTCGATTCGCCTAGTTCGCCTTCTCCTATTCCGGTCGGCGGCGCGGTTCACCCACCTAGCGCGTACAAAGTGCTCGCAGCGTTCAAGCGCTCGAAGTCCTTCCTGACCGAACACTCGGACAAATCCTCTCCTGCCCCTTCATCGTCACCTTCTTCTCCTCCGCCTCCCGTACCCTCGGATCGTCGTCAGATATCGCGCAAGCGTTCTGTTCTGACGAAACGCAAGTCCGAGGGCAAGGAGCGACCGCTCTCTATTTCAAGTAGCAGCACGGGCCCCAATACCTCGAGCATGCGAAGCGCCGTGACGGCCACAGAAAGCATGGCTAGCACGCAGCGAGGATCAACGCGGACCATAGCCACGGGGACGGACGCACACAGGCCTACGAACCAGTCTGATTCGAGGTTCTCACAAATGACCGGCTATTCCATCCTCTCTTCCGCAGCCACAGATCAGGAGGAGGGCAGAGTTCCGGGAGACCTCTCCAGGAGCGGTCGACGCCGCGATCGAGATTCGAAGTCGAGCAACGGCTGCTCGGTGCAGTGATTTATTCATCTCCGTCTCATCTTATTTGGTGCACTTTGCTCACCCGGACGACTTATACACGTGTACTCTGTACTGCATGGTCTCATTGCATTTACGCTCGTTGCATCGTCATGGGACTCGACATTTTACTCCGCATTTCGTACTGCATATATTGCCCCCCTTCGCGTAATATGCCATGTCAGGCAC